AGATTATGATTCGATATATATATATTCTTAAAAGAGCATTTTGTTGCATAAATATGGATCAATCATTTACTACTTTTTAGTATTTGAGAATGATTTGGGAATCGTTTTTGGAAATGAATTGTGAAAGGATACATATGTGTATCGCGTTACGAACTAGTTTAGTTTGAAAATGATTCAAAAAATGCTCTACGAAATGTATTTACGGCGGACAAGTCGTGTTGTGAGAAAGTTAATTGTTTGGTTTGTGAAATGTATTATGGATTGGATTTCTGATATTGGATGATGATTGTTTGATGCTCAATATGACTGTGAACCCGGGTCGGGGTTTCGAGGTATGCATACTGATTTAGGATATCCTTCTAGACCGAGCCACCGGCTTTGTAGGTGGAGACCTTGTCAATGAGGGAATCTTGATAGTTTTGTCACAATGTTTTGTGTCATGACCATGGTTTGATATTGAGTAGTAGATTCGTCGATGGAATGGACCGTCAATGTGTGATGTTATATGAGATTCATCAATGGAATAAATCATTGATGTGTGATTTGAGATTAGTCAATGAAATGGACTATTGACGTGGTTTTTAACAAAGATTGATCAATGAACTTGACCATCGATGCTTATGATGATTTAAATGAGTATTTCTGAATTGTATAAAACTTGTTGAAATGAAATAACTCTTATGTGACTCGATATATATTTTATATCTTGAGTTTAACTTCTGGAATTATGGGATGGCTTTATGTATACATACATAGTGGTTGCTCGATCTGCTTAGAAGAGATACGCATTACTTACTGAGTTATAGTTACTCACCCCTCTCTTTCCTCAATTTTTTCAGGTTCTTTGGTTAGTAGCCAATAGAGCAACATCGATGTTGTAGGGACTTTTTGGTGGTTTGAGACTGCGTCCTTCGGGTGGAAAGATGGTCGTGTCATCCCCCATCATAGTCGGTTTCGGGGTGTGATAGTACTTGTAAATTTCATTGGATGATTTGTGGGGCAAAATCATTTACATCCATGCATGAAACATGCACTTGAGAAAGCAAAATTCATATGTAAACAGAACATTTGGCGAGAAGTTTTAAAAATTTTAATGCATTTATTGTTGAGAAAACTTATTAATATGTTTTGAAAATTGACAAAACCTTCCATAGTATCTATTGAGTCTGACGAAAGTATTTTCAGATGATGAATAAGCGATACTCATACTTTGATCATTGTTATTTGAATATTGTGTCTGAAGTTATGATTGTTCACCTCGTGGAGATCAAATATGCTATGTATATCATTAGAGTAATATGAAGGCATCACCAAAGCTTGGATGTGCATATTGTCAAGACGTTTGGCATCTTAAGATTCTATACTAAATCCATTCAAACTTAGGGACTATTCAGACTCAAATAGTATCACTGATGAAGAAGTTCATATAGACTCATAACACAAATTATATATCGCAACGGCTAGTGACTTGACTCGGATTTCTTTTATAGAATATGATGATTGATCATGAATCTAAAATATTATTTTGCAACGAACTTACTCAAAGCAAAACATCTTTGATTGATTGGTAATCTTCCTTAGATAATATATTCTTTCCAAACGAAGAACTCTACTTATGGAAACCCAGCTTTAGTTGTATGGGCGACTGAATTAATGGGGAATTATGATTTTATCACTCAACGTTTACTCAATCTCCTTGAAGCATTCATATCCAACCGGTTGATTGGAGAATGAATCTCTAAAGACTGTCCAACGGCTAGATTGGAAGTGGAGGAGTATAAGAAGAGATTTTGATACCGAAGAGAAAGACACAGAGATTGTGCATCTAAAATTCCAAAGTCTAAGAGAGCTTCTACCTTATACACTTGTCTTGGTGTTCTACAAAACAATAATCTTTAATATGTGTAAAAAGAGTCTCTTTGAGATTGTGAGACAAGTGACTTTGAGATAGTGGAACCGATCAAGATTGAGTGTTGTCACTCTCATTTGTAACCTCTGATTGATTTACTAGTAAAATCCAGTCAGTAGGCTGTTCATGTGAAGAGTGGACGTAGACTTGCAATAAGCCGAACCACTATAACTTTTGTGTGTAGTTTTCTTTATCCCTTAACTCTTAATCATTATCTTTGATAGTATATACTAGTGAATTTGATAATAGTATAGTCTCACTTAAGACTCTGTCTTTCACGAGATATTAATTTTGATTGTTTTAATTCCACTTTAATTTGTCAAGATTGGTTATAATCACCTATTCAACTCCCTCTGGGTGACAGTACTAGCTACTTCACTTATCCCATATCAAAACTCAAAAGTAGTGGTGAACCACATACTAAATATACTTAATGGGGAAAAATGATGATTAGCTCGAGTTAAAGTAGGAATTTCCGCACGAGTTAAAATTGGTCGATTATTACAAAAGGATGGTAATTCCATGAGAACCAACACATGTTGCCAAATAACTTGAAAACCCGGCCGTATAGATACCTAATTGAAAAAAAGTTTAACATTTTGACATTATAAACTCAAAACATTGCTAAATTCTTGATAGTGTCCGGAACTTAGAGTATTGTTAATTTTCGGGATAAGAATAGTAAGAGTGCCATAACTTTCGTACGGCGTTCATTTGAGTACTATAACTTTTTTTTCGCTCACTTAAGTGCCATATCGGAGTAAAATCGATTATTTTAGCGACATTTCCGGCAAATCGTCATATGTGGATTTTTTATTTAATTTTTCATTTCTACGTGGAAATTTTTAAAAATAAAATGGTGAATTTATTGCCACATCATGTAACATAAAAGAAAATGGAGAAAAACACGAAGGTAGAAAACAAAAGAAAAAGAAAAACTTAGGGAGAGAGAGAAGGGGGTTGCCATGGCTGCTCAAGCTCTAAGCTTTGGGTGGCCATGGCCACTGGAGTTTCAAGCCACGATGGCTGCCGCAAGTGAAACATAGATGGGGATGCCAAAAGTCAGAGGTCAGAAGGAACAATTTCTCATTGACAAACAACCGATCAAGTGCTCCCCCGTTTTCTGCAACTGGGCAAAGGTGTTCCGCCGTGAACTTGAAGCTGGATCAGCCATGGCAGCCGAGAGTTAAAGCTGATCGAGTTGCAAGCTTGAGAGAAAGAAAGGAGGGAAGGCTCTCTATATCTCTCAACCTCCCATTTCTGCACCTCAATCACTACCCCTTTCCATCCAAATTCATGAGCCTCTTCACTTACTTCAACTCTCTCATTTCGCCTCCGCCCTCGAGACCCCCAAGACTACCGCACATCCTGCCGCCGGCTTCAATTTCTCCTCCACAATCCTCTCTCTCAAAAACCCTAATTTCCCTCCTAATTACTCAAAATTGATCAAACCCACCTCAAGAAACAGTCTCAAAGTGCAGTCCCTCATGAAGAACCTCTCCATCTTCATGTGAGCCCTAATTCGCATTGCCGGAGGCAGGATCGCTGGCGCGTTCACTTACGTGTGCTTGTGCCCGCTCGACACCATCAAGACCAAGCTCCAGACGAAGGGCGCCTTGGAACTGTACAAGAACACGTTCGATAAGTATGATAAGTGGAGCGAGGAGGAATTACTGGGAGTCTTGAGTGGCGAGGCGTGCGGCGGAGCCCTCGCCGAATTTGGGTTTAGCTAGCCAAAATCCATAAATGCTATAGTAGCCCCAACCATGGGAAAGATGAAGTTCTTCATCGTGCCCATTTGCAAATTAGATTGGCCAAATAAAAATAAAAAAATAATTAAATTAAATAAATTTTCAAAAATTGTCCACATCGATTTTTCGAGCGTCACGTCGATTTTTTAAACAAATCGCGATAAGATTCAAGTGATCGATTTTTCAAATTTATAGCACTCAAGTAAGCGAAAAAAAAAAAGTTATGACACTTCTGCTGTTGTTATCCCGCTAATCTCCTTACAAAGCTCGAAAAATGTTATTTACACATTTATTTCATATTGTTAAATTAATTACATAGTTGGTAACTTATGCCCACACTCGTATAATTTTAAAAATTAAGTGATTTAATAATTGAGAAAATTGCACTAATAGTTCTCAACGTTTGGCCGATGTGCAATCTGGTCTTTCTAGCGACTGCTCATCCAATTTTGCTTACGTGGTATGTCGATATGGCTTATTGTTTTCGTATATGCGGCACTGACGTGATCCTAATGTGATGTCATGTTAGAAAAAGTCATGATTTAGAATAAATAATTAGAGAAAAACCAAAAAGCCAAAAAATTAAGGAAAACAAAAAAGGCCAAAAGGAACCAAAAAATAAAAAATAAAGTGAGAGAGAGAGAGCGAGAGGGCAACCTTGCGATAGGTTCTACACCGACCCTCGTCGGGGACTTGGCAAATCACTGGTGACACTCCTATGCAAAGACGAGGGCTCGTGACCCGTGGCGCAATGGTGGTGAGCGGACGACTCTCGTGACTGCCAAGTGAGATTCAGCGACCCCTTGCACACTGGTGGCGAGCGGTGGCGCCACCGCGCACGAGGGGCTGCTATTATTTAACATTTGGGTCTTGGCGAAATGAGTTTTATGAGAAGAACAATTGATGACTGCACTTTCCACTGAGTACTCGAACTTTCCCAAGAAATTGGAAACGCCTAAGCGAGATTATTGATAGTAACTCTTTTTTTTGTTGGGATATAGAAACCTTTTTGCTTTCACATGTTGATAATTATTCTTCAAAATAGAAAAAGCGAGTATGAACAAATCAGCACAGTAATTTTTCACTTCATTATAGTCCATCTAATCAGTCGATTTCAATATATAAAACGAGAATGTACACATGATTAGCAGCTTATCCATTTTATTAGTAAGTTTCCATGCAAAGAAATAATTTATGGATTATTTTGGAGCTAATCACAAAATTATTGCACAAGTGCTGTAAACATATATAAGTAAGAAGATTTAGAAAGAAAAAAGAAATAATGGAATATTCTGAAGCATCCAAGTTAATAGGAGCCACAATCTTGATCTTCCGTGGCCACCTCAAACTCCTCGCAAAGTCCCGGGCAAAGATGCCACGCCCTCTGCTCGTCTCTCCTCCTCCACCTTCCCTGACCAATTCCAAGCACAGACGTAAACCAAAGAAGCAAAAACCCGATTCTTTCCCGTTCTTTGTTTCCTCTTTTGGGAGTTCAGTTCGGACCCGCGATTGCTCGCGCCTGTTCTTGAAGTGAAGTAAAGCAGAGCATCCATGGCAAGATGTTCGCTCGGAGCCGATAACCTCTGCTTCGGGCCTCGCTGCCCGAGCACCCGAAGCTCCATCTTGCCCGGTTCGTTCAGAGCCCGGCGGCTGAGTCGCTTCGCGTCGAAGAACTATGCTAGGGTTAGAGTCTTTTCCAGCATCAAGGAGATACAGGACGTGAAGGAGAGCGAGAGGTCCAGTGGGGTCGTCCGGGTCGATGAATTGGACAAGACTAAGCTGGTTTCTGGTTTTAGTGGCACGTTGGGAGATGAAAGGGAGGAAGGAGCAGTGGGTTTTGATTGGAGATGGCCTCCGTGGAAGAATTTGCCGCAGAGATATACGCTCATTGGCACTACTTCTCTCGCTTTCGTCATTTGTAACATGGATAAGGTCAGTGTTCGATCATCAGCTCCTACTTGGTCATGAATAATGGTAATGTGTTAAGTGTTTGAGGCGGTTGTGCATCTTTTGTGCCTTAATTTTATATTGCAAGTGTGAGCTTCCAAATGGTATTCGGATCAGCTTCGTATAGGGTCATTGGATTTGATGTTGAAGTTTCTTTTCTTTAAAAAATTCCCTCTTGTTGGTTGAATGCTGTGGCAGGTGAACTTGAGTATTGCTATAATTCCGATGTCTCACCAGTTCGGGTGGAATTCTTCAATGGCTGGGTTGGTGCAGTCATCATTCTTTTGGGGGTACGCATTGAGCCAGTTGCCTGGAGGTTGGCTTGCGAAGATATTTGGTGGGCGGTTAGTTCTTGATCCCTTGCTTGAATCGCATTATTTTTTTTTATCAAGTCATGTTATTTCATTGGCGAATTATTGGGCATGTTTTCATCTGAGAAACAGAGAAAAAGAACAGATAACGTACAAATGAATGCTAACTCCCTAAAGATTTGTGCTGTCTTAAAATTCATCCAGTCTGGGGGAAGTATTGCAATTCAATTGTCATTAAAGTTGGCTGAGGCACTTGATTGGGCCTTCCCCGCTCCCATCAAGAAATAGAACTGACCAAATCTCCTTTTGGAGGAGAAGGATGGATTGCAATGGTGCCATACGTGTCAACTAAAGTTAGTTCTGCTAGCTCTGCATGCTAAGACCTAGATCAACTTTACCTTCTAACTAGTGCAGTTTGAGTGGACAACTGTTCAATTTTATCTTATTAGCTTTACCAATAGATTGACAACTAATGAAACTAAGTGCAGACACGAGCTCATGTCTAACTGAGACAAATTTTCGACTTCTTTTCCTCATAACTGCTGCCTTCCCACCTTTTGTTTGTGAGGCTCTCTTCAGCTGACTTGCTTACTGGTTTCAACTTTGTTCTCATATTTTGAATCATGTTTCCTCAAACCCTATCAGCAATAATAATTAACTTCATTGATTTTTCTATGCAAATGACAGTGAAGCTATGATAGAAGCTATTTTGTAGATCCACAATGAGTTGGGTGGGGGAATTCTCTTATTGTCGGTCCCAACTTATGCAATGATGCACCATCCTTACCTGTTAATAGTGTTTAACTTCTTCTTTAATTGTGCAGTAAAGTTCTTGAGATTGGGGTATTGGCTTGGTCATTGTCAACAGCACTTGTTCCTGTTTTTGCAGGATTCATGCCTGGATTAGTCTTATCTAGAATTTTGGTATGTAAGTCATAATGATCTTACTTTCCCTTTTTGCTTCTGGGGTTTGGCTTTAGCAAGTTTAGTTATTATAAGACAACTTGCATTTTAATTGTTGTGCTTAATATGATTCTTGGAAAACTAGTTCTGCTCTCATAGGTGGCATCTTCATTTGATTTTGTATGCAATGACTGTTGTTATGTTTTCAGTTTATATTTTTTGTTGATAGTTGTGTTTTCAGTTTCAATGATGACCATCTTCCACTTTTCATCTGTAGGTCGGAATTGGCGAAGGTGTTTCCCCATCTGCAGCGACTGATCTCATTGCCAGGCATGTATTACCCTGTTTTTTTAGTTAGGTGAAGTCCATTGATCCTTAAAATGTGAAAACGGACAGAAAATGTGTGAAGATAAATATCTTCTCACCTCTCATCCAACACTGCTCGATAGAGACACCTGCATGTAAACCAGGTCCTACTTGTCTCTTAATTAGATGGAACAGAATAATTTGATGGGATTATAGTGAAAAGAAAAAAGAGACTATAATTGAAGAGACGCGCTTTTAAGAGATTAGATCCATGGACCTTATTCAGTCAGATGTATCTAGAAATATTCGCAAATTTACTTAGTGGGAAGTGATCATACATTTTTTGCATTTCAGATCTTTTTACCGAAGCTTTTCCGGCTGGCTGATCCGCTCAGTTTTATTGCTCTGTTTCTAAGAATTGATTCACATTTCTTAATCATACGTGGCGAAAAAAAAATAGTGGCTGTATGTCCATTCTTTCTTTGAGTGATCCAAATATATTCATCAGGTAGAGTGCAGGGTTTGCTGATTTGGTGTTTTGATGCAGCGGTTGATGAGTGTCCTCATATTTTGATCTAGTTAAAATATGATTTGATAACGGAGGTGCTTTCTTAATGAATGCTCTTCTTCTTCTTTAACGTCTATATTTCCTAACTGTGCAGGACAATACCATTGGAAGAACGCTCTCGAGCAGTAGCATTTGTTTTTGGTGGTCTAAGTGTTGGCAGTGTTACAGGGTATGTGATTGGAGGATGATGCTTGGCTGAGTTTCTTTTCTTTGTAATGACGTGATTGCTAAGCTAACTCAGTTCCTACATCGGACTCATAACCTTGAAGCCAAAATAGGTTTTTTTGCAGCTCTTTTTAGTCATTAAGATCGAGGATTAATTGTTCATCAGATGATGCAAAGTCATGGTGGTGTTTCATTATCCACCAAACTGAAGGAAGCGCTGATCCTACTAACTAATCACTTGTAACCTCATGGCAGCCTGTCATTGATTTCTCTAATTTGCTTTGACTTCTGTCAACACCCAAATTTTTTTACCTTGATATATCTATGGCTGTCTAATCATCTCTTGGACCAAAGAGATGAAGAAAAGCAAGAGACAATCTCCCAATACTTACAGATGACTTGACCTGGAAGCCCTAATTTACTGAAAGATTAGGGCCTTGGCATCCTATTTTATTTTTTTCTTCAATTATTTCAAGTAGGTTCGTTTACTCTCTTAAGTTATATTTAATTATTTTTGTTGTTCATGTAGATTACCACTTTGAGCAATAGCATCACTTGCAACCGATAAATTGTCAGTTGTGGAGCTAAAGTCTGTCAATAGCACATATATCTTCAAGTAGTACAATAAATTGAGTTGTAAACGAAGTTCTTAACTAAAGCTGCCAATTCATATTCGTACCATATTGATGTTCAAGATCAATGTTTCAGTCTGCATGTAAGTGTGATAAGCAGTCTAGGTTATATCACTTCGCATGGATTATGAGAAACTGATCATTGTGGTAAGTTTTGTCTATGTTATATGAGAAACTTTGATAATTGAAACTTACAGTTGAACAATTTTGCAGGCTTCTTTTGGCTCCTCCCCTGATCCAAAACTTTGGTTGGGAATCCGTTTTCTACATTTTTGGTCTTTTGGGGATAGGTTGGTAAGTAATCTTGAATCTTACTCGAACTCTTCCGCTTTCTACTTTGAGAAATTTTCTTTGCCCTTTCTTCCCCAATATTAGCAGGTTCGAATTCTGAAAGAACATTTTAGTAGTTTTGATTGTTCTCCTTATTCATGCTAATCAGTATGTCGTATGCTAGTCTAGAAGCATTTTTATGTTATGTCTTTTCTTCTTAAAGATTTAACGGAGTTGTGCCTTTTTACTTTTGGTTATATGAATTTTGAAGGTTTACAGGTTTTCAGCTAATTAAAGAAGAGAGAGAAGGTTCAACTGCTTCCAGATCAGTATCACGTGAGTTCAGTTTGTTTTCATGTTGCTTGACTACTATATGAGAGTAAATTTTTTGAAGGTTCTATAAGTACCGGAAAGGTTGGAATATGCTTTATGCATTGTTGGTAACCACCTTAATTTGTCTGGTCATCTAAATACACAATGATGGAATGAAAGGCTCGGCACAATATATTCTAATACCTTTGCTTCACCTCTTCCCTCCCCTTTATCTTACGATCACACCTTGCCTATTCTTATTCTTTTTCTTTCTTCTGTTGATAAACGATCAGCAACTCAAAAATTATTTAGATAGCAGCTGACAAAGCAAGACTGCAAATTGTGTAAGATGAATCACGAGTCACATCAATGTGATTTGCAATGCCTCTTCAATTAGGCGAATTGAGCGAGGCACTTTCCAAGACCTTATGCTTTTAGCCTATCCTTCATCCAGCAGATGGATTTACAATGCCATAATCTCATACGCACCTTATGATACACCCTGTTCTTCTTCCTAGTGAAACGATAGGTTTTTGTTAGTCATAAACTTTTCAAAGAATTTCCTCATTTTGCTTGACTTCACAGTTATGAATATTTTGCTATTATTAGCTCGTCAAGGATGATGAGTTAAGGATTCATCATTTTTTGGACTGTCTTGCTGAGAGAATTTTTCATTCTCCAATTATGTTTAAAGAACTGGGAATACGAATCCCAGGTGCCGTGTTAGCTATTATTCTGAGCATTACAATTAGATGTTTCGTAGTTTTAACTCAGTGTATCAGCTGCTGAATTTGGAGCTTTATATCTGATTTAACATGTGAGCATGTTTCTTCTATTTGACAGGGTCAGAGGATATCTCTACAGATAATTCAATGACAACTTCTCTAAGTAATTTGGCCGGGACTTTGAAGGTAATCTTTTTAAGAAAATCAGTTGCATGACACTCGTGTCACTTTACTTTCGAAGATCCATTTGCTTTTATGTGGTCTATAGATATTAAACAGATGAGCAACTTGAAGAGCCGCTCTAAAGGCCACATCAAATAGAAAAAGTTGCATGTAGCAAATGCACAGGAAAACCAAACCAATAAAACCATCCTAGATGCATATACCCGGCATCATCTTCTTACGATAACATTGATAATGTGAACAATATCCTCATTTTTATTTCGATCTTCTAAGAGTGAGCACCAAAGTCTTTTTTACTCTCTCATGTCATATCTCTTTCATTTTCTAATGATCGACTCTATCATCTTTTCTATCTTTTTGTCTGACAGAACTCGCTACTTATGATTGTTCTTTTAATAGGATGTGCCCTGGAAGGCATTTTTTGAGAATCAAGCAGTTCGGGCAATGATATATGTTCATTTTTGTGGAAGTTGGGGACACTATACCTGCCTCTCTTGGCTTCCGACATATTTTAGGTATAGCATTGTCAATCTTGTGTTACTGACTTTTATGCAGGCTTCAAGTTAGGGTAGCATGTACCTTCATTACTCATCTCAGCCTGGATATGCGAATGACTTACCAACGATTTGAAGAGTCTGTAGAAATATGCAATGTGTTTACTGGGTATTATGATGTAGAATTGGAGACTTTCTTCTTAATAGCTGCCATGTAACTTAGGGATTAGCCTTAGAAGTCAAAATTGTTGGAGGCAAATCAAAAGGCAAGATTGCCTTTCCAATTGCGAAACTTCAAGGTTAACATGATCTCACTTGGAATAAATTTAGTTGCTTCCTGAAAATTTCTCAGGTCTGAGAAAAACATCCATGTAGACTATCAATAAAGTAGGGGTTCCAGCTCTTGCATTGAGTTTTATTATTTGTTGATCACCTCCAAGATGATGAGTATATGCATTCTTACTACATTGTATTCTAGTTACACTGGTCAAACTAAATGTATATTTACTTTGCAGTGAGGAGCTGAACCTAAATTTGACAGAAGCTGCATGGGTAAGTCAGAATATTCATGTCTCAATACCATTGACTAAGTCTCAGGGAAAATTATTGACTGCCCTGACCATTTCGTTTTGATGCTTTCGTATACGTCTTCAACAATTTTTCTTCAGTTGATGTTGCTTCCGATTGTGAAAATTGGATTATCACCCACTCATATAGACCGCACAATCTAATTTAGGTCTCAATTCTTCCTCCACTGGCTTCCGTTTTCGTGACTGGTGTTGCATCACAATTTGCAGACAATTTAATTGCCAATGGAGTGGAAACAACTAAGGTATTTGTTGTTCTACTGTGCCGATCCTTATATCATGTTTTCATGAGATGAAATAATTGAAAATGGTACAACTTAACAAAATGCAAACCGGTTTTCTTGGACGGACATGCTACAGATATAATCTTTGCTGTTGATCGCTTTGGGTGTTCAGGTGCGAAAGATTTGCCAAACAATTGCCTTTTTATCTCCAGCAGTTTGTATGACCCTTTCATCAATAGATCTAGGATTGGCACCTTGGGAAGTTGTAGGAATTCTCACCGGAGGATTAGCACTCTCAAGTTTTGCCTTGTCAGGTACTAAATTCTGCACAGTACTTTAGCTACAATGAATCATTATTTGCCATCAATATGAAAGAGAATCATTATTTCATTCTCTCTGTTGTTTTCAGAATTATGATAAGTCGATTGTTTGTCAGGTCTTTATTGTACACATCAAGATATGTCGCCGGAATACGCAAGTATACTCTTGGTAAGCTCCTATAGAATGCTGTTCATATGAACTTTGAGTACAAAGCTCCTGTTAATCGTGGGCATCAAATGATGCTGCAGAACAAGCTGCATTTCAGTTAGTGCAGGTTCTATGTGAAATTCATTTTGGGAGCTTACAAAACTCAGTCTACTTCTTATTGGAGGCCATATCATTTCTTGTTCTGCTTCTAAGCGCCTGAACCTGCTATCCTATTTAAATTTGTTGCTTTTAAATCAAATGACTCAGTATTTGACAGATATACTCCTACAATATCGAAATGGGTTTGAAAAGGTCAACTTATACTGTACTGTGTTGTCTGACGAATGGTCCGCAAACTTTTTTCAGGGTATAACAAATACTGTTGGGGCCATACCGGGCATCGTAGGGGTTGCCCTCACTGGTTACCTACTTGATTTAACTCACTCGTGGAGCGTAAGTTCACTGTCATTCACCACAAATATTACAATTCGACATCTTCTCTTTTTTCTTAGTGTATCCTTTTTAATTGGGGATTGCATTATGCAGATGTCATTATTTGCTCCATCAATCTTCTTTTACTTGACCGGCACTGTTGTCTGGTTGGCTTTCGCAAGCAGTAAGCCGCAGAACTTTTCCTAGAGAGATTGACATTGTATTCAGTAAGTTATCCTGCCGATGCTTCTAAATTGAAAGGAGACTTGTCTGTCAGTTTTTCTCTTCTAGAGAATCATCCCTGACTTGTGCATCGTGTTTTCCTACAGAGAAAGGGTGTTCATTACTTCATTGCGATTAGCCTCGGTTGGTTAACAAGATAATGAGCAAGATCACAGTTTTCCTCTCCCCCATTCATTTTGTTGTTGGAGATGAGTGAAAAACATGAAATTAGTCTAGCAACACATGATACAGCATTACCTTCCTCGACAGTGTCCAGACGAAGTTAATTCCAGCCGTGCGACCCTTCAATGAGAGTATCGACATACGTAGCGGTGCTACATATTTCAATGTTAGGCCTCGTGTATATTCGAAATAATGTGGCCTGTATATGTTAGGAGTATGCTAGTGAAAATTAAAGCGTCTCCTTCACATCAATATCTTGGGAAAGTTGCAAACATTCGCAAGATAGGAATGTACTATTTGTATATACTTGAATTCTTTGTGTATCAATTTCAGGGTAACATCAATTTTTGCTCCGTAACATGATATGAGGCCTGTGTTTCTGATGCTAAATCCTTTTCTGGCCGAAATCCTTGGTTTATACTTCGGACTCTTGCCATCAAGATTACTGCCAGGCGTTTGTTGGTTCATTCTTGCTGAGAGACGACTACCAAAATTTGGTTTATTCCTGCTGAGAATAAAGCACAACTTAATACACAAACCTATCATATCAAAAGAACAAGACCACAGAACAATTGAAATCAAGCATACTGGAATGGGTTCAACGACACTTTCCTTGAAAAAGTTGCGACCACCATGTCGTCACGCTACAGTTTCTGGTGCTGCTCGTGGGAGTTATTCGCAGAGCCGCTCAAGGGGTTCGACGTAAGAAAGGATACAAGCGAAACTTTCTAGGCGGCAATCTTCTCAAGACGAAAGCGCAGCGGCCAGTCTGGCCAGTGTTATCGCACTGTCCAGTAAAGCGAGCCTTGTGTATACCCCAATCGCATCCTTGTATGCCCATAAAAACAATAGCTTTCAATATTTCAAAACTTATTCAAATATACACCAATCTCCCACATATTTCACAAGGTTATAAAAAGAAATGAAAGAATGATGCTGGGTTATTGGAGAGTAATGCATCAGAAGTGATGCTTATTAGGCTATGAATCAAGCCTAGAAAAAGTATTATATAATTTACGAAATCATTGGTAAAGTTTGAAACTTCATGAACCAAAATTTTCTTTTTGTGAATTATAACTTTCATCAATTACGTTAGACTCCCACGAATTTTGTTGTTCAACGCGGTTTTGCACTAATAAGCCATGCACGTGCTTGGTTTATTCATAAGTGCTCTAGAGATTGTTGCCAATAATTCTCATAGGAGCGGCCACACTACACATTTATATAGGTGATTCATCGAGTATATCCTACAGTTTAATACACCACCAATAATGGCTATAGAATTCATTAAGTGCTAAGCGCAACCTCTTTTTTATTGCAGTCTTGCACTATTCTCACTTTAGGGGGGACTGAAATTTTTAATAGTGCATCGCTAGACGAACAAGTAACTTTTTATTGCCCATATGAACCCAATTCATGGGATCGCTAATCACATAAATTGGTTGCCATCATTATTTATTTTCTTCGACTGGCTTAAGTCTCACTCCCCTCAATGTATTGTCAAAGGATCGGCCAAAATCACTTCTCACTTTAAATAATCGATGGACATATTGAAAGTTTTTTTCATTGCAATGGTTATTGCCATTTGGAAATCACTATTGCTGCTAGGAAATCACAATGCATAGACACGAAAGGTGTTGATTTCATTCGCAATGGAAATGACCATTCTTTCACATTATTGCCAAATCTAAATTTACTGCCTATTCTTTCACATTAGCACAATATTGGCTTAAGAAATGATCACAACAATTATGTCATTTGATCATTTAATTCAACCAAATTGACTTTTGGTTTAGTAGGATTGTCATTTTCCCCCACAATTTTGTTTGGCTAATTTCCAAGTTACAGCATCTGTACTAAAGGTGAACAATCCTATAGTAGATTTGTCTCATCTAAATCTCATTCGCAATGAAAATGACCATTCTTTCACATTATTGCCAAATCTAAATTTACTGCCTATTCTTTCACATTAGCACAATATTGGCTTAGGAAATGATCACAACAATTATGTCATTTGATCATTTAATTCAACCAAATTGACTTTTGGTTTAGTAGGATTGTCATTTTCCCCCACAATTTTGTTTGGCTAATTTCCAAGTTACAGCATCTGTACTAAAGGTGAACAATCCTATAGTAGATTTGTCTCATCTAAATCTGATATCCAATTAACGTCACTGTAAATAAAGCGGAAAATCCACTATTTTTATATTCACATGGCCAAAATTACAACTCTAAAGTCCATATTTGACCTTCATATCTTTCTTTTCGGTTCACACTTTTTGTTCATTTAGTCTCACATTCACACACATAAAACATTACACTCAATTCTCATACAACAATTTAGCGACCAAAGACAAAAATTATCATGCAACAGTTTACATGATAGCACATTTCACAAGTTATATAGGTACATTAGGTAGCATCAATTGCGCATAGACTTCACAACAAGAAAAAAAAATTTAGCAGTTACCAAGCAATTGGGCACATTGAAATTGTTGATATGAGCCAGAAGTAGAAGACAAGAATAAAACATATAAACATCCCCAACACAGAATATTCAGGGAAAGAACATTAACGGATGCACACATCCTAATGTAAGCATGTAGGATTTATCTTCTTGATAACGAGATTTAGTGGTTTCCCATACATCATTAGATTATATTTTCACCGTTTATCTATCTGAACATTATTCTATCAGATTCTCAATGAAGAGGATTACCAGACATGAAAAACAACACCCAAGGTTCAACTTATTCTGTGGAAAAGTAACCCAAAAAAATTGGTCCAAGAAACAACAATTTGTTGATAGTAGCAAGGATTAACTAAATTAATATGGCGTTGTTCATTTCCTTTGACACATTGCCAGTCAACAATTATTTTCACTTTAGCTAAAGTAATCGAACATTTGACATTGATATTCTTTAGTTATAGAGAAAACCTCTTCATTGGCAACCCTTCTACTAAATAGGGAAAATTTTCTCCAAAATCAAACTACACTAAGGTATTAAAAGCCATTCACACCCGCTACAACATCGGCATATACCTCGATGTATCATCTGATTACAATTGTCAATCTTCGCCGAAAATCAAACACAAACTAGTGAATTCATGAATATAAAATAGAAAATCATTAAGTGCTCCAATTTCCAGTCCTAGATGCATGCTTAAATAATCATGAACTAAAGAGAGAAAACACCTACAAACGCCCAACTTCCTCTCGAAAAAACAAACATAGGTATTGAAGCTCTAAAGAACTATTTTACCTAGCACTCAATAACCTTACCGAAACCACCCAAAGCTTTTTTGTGCTGGTGCCCGGTAATGTCCCACGACAAACTGCCCATGAATATGCGATACTTGTCCTTCACCATCTCTAAGTCCTCGTTCAATTCCAACAACGGTGGTAGCAGCATTAGCTCCAATTTAGGAATCCATAAGGCAATTATCCTTAGGATTTGAGGCACTCAAATATGTGGGGGATTGTTATATTTTTTTATAAGTTTTGAAATATTGAAAGCTATTGTTGTGTAATAGTTTTTTACGGTCATCAATTATTAACGGTTTTTGTCCGCCATTAATCTATAATGGTTTTGTAATATTTTATAAAGGTATTATAACGATCTTGACTTCTATCAATTTGCAACGAATTTGTAACATTTTTCAATTAAATGCAAGAATTGATGATGGAAAACGGCTCTCTTTCTTTTACCTATAAATTGTTACTCTAAACATAATTGAAAAGTGATATCTCAAAACAAGACTATTTCTTTTCTCTTTATATATATTTCCTTTCTTTGTTGGATTATATACATAATGATGTTCCCCTTCCTTCTATTATAAAGAAGGTTTGTTAAATCTTGGGAGGGGAATCGCTAAAACTTATATCGTACCAAGTTTCGTACTCCAAGGGGCGGAATTATCCTTAAGATTGTTGGAAGAATATTAGATCATAAAAGTAAATAATTGCTGGAAATCTGTTGAAAAAGTTGAGAAAATAATCACTTTAGGATAATTTTTCCCTTCGAAGTACGAATTTTAAGGCACTAGACGCTAGCAACTATCCTCCCGAGATACAACAAAAACTTCTTCTCTATTTTGCACAGAATAATTTAAGGAATATGAACAATGTTATATTTATAATCAAGAAAAGATATGTATAAAAGATAAAAAGAGAATATTCCTGTTTTGATATATATAAGTAACAATTTATGGGTAAAAGAAAAAGAGAGTTGTTTTCCATCATCAACTCTTACATTTGATTGAAAAACGTTATAAATCCATTGCAAATTATAGCGGTCAAGACCGTTACAAAACAATTATAAAATGTTACAAAAACGTTATAGATTAATGGCGCATAAAAACCGTTAGAAGTTGATGATGTTAAAAAATCGTTATAAATATATAGCTTTCAATATTTCAAAACATATTCAAATATACAACCGAAATGAACTTAATGCTCACCCCTACTACAGTGAGCTCAATCCTGAAGTTGGTTGTGCGTGAGGTGTCAACCCCAGTCTTGGTGGTGGCGCCGGGATCAGCCCGAGACTTGGAGGCACTAATGGGACCGATCTTGGAAGTGGTGTGGGGCCATAGATAGAGGCAATTGGGCCAACTCCGGGGTCGACCAAGATTGTTACCCATATCATCTGAAAGAGAAGAAGAGAGGACATAGCTTGAGCTTTCATTGCCATGTTAAGTTAGCCAATGTTAGTGGTACAGTGGGATGATAGGCTAAAGTGTCCAGGCAGAGAGATGATATATACAGGGGAGTCATGAGTCTTATCCTGGTGAAGGTTGCTCTTTCAACT